TCTTGCAAAAGTCCAACTGTACAATTCAACCTTTTTAATTGTGTTAGGATTTTTTTCCTCTTGATGGCGTGATTTACTCCATTAACATTGTAGGTAACAATTTTCAAAGTCGTCATAATTATGTAAAAACAAAAAATATTTTACTTCCCCTCAATAGTATATTGATACCTTTGCAGACGTAATTAGCAATCAAAATCAGCTCGGCGANATTTCATATGGTTTAACACTTAACAAAATTACATACTAGTAATTTTAACTGAATTTTGTTCTAGACAAATCTGTACTTTACAACTCGCTTTGAACAAACAGTTTACACAAACAAGGTTTGAAGGAAGTTTTAAAGTCTTCTCATGAACAACTTAACTCAGTAAACAAACTGAACAAATGAAATGATAAAATGATGAGATGATATTTTAAGTAAAGAACTGGTGATTCAATATTTCACAAGCTGATGTTGGGTTTGCAGCATGTAAGCTTTTTCATCTCATCTTCATTTTGTTTACCTGCAGTGTTTTTTTATTACTGCAGGGGTCATTATTGAGTGACCAACACAGTGTCAACACAGAGCTGACACAGTTTGTGTAGCGTGTCAGTACACTCCTTGAGGTTTCATCATCCTATCACCACACTCATCCAACACTGAAGATTGTTTTGCTGACCTGGAAGCAGAAGGACACTTTTTCTTTGCCTTTAGAAACTGGAGGCAGYTGAAGGAAGTCTCCACAGACGATGAGCTGAATGCCTCCGAACGGCTGCACAGACCTCCTCACCGACCTGCAGGAACAAACCATGACTGTGTGTCACCTCTGGATTCAGCTGACAATATTCAGCTCATCTTCAAATAAAACATTTCCATACGTCTCCCACCGTGCACTGCTATTTCCATTCCCAAAATGAGACAATCAAAACATGCAAAGATGCTACTAAAGATTTAAACGGCAACATAAAGCACATTTGTTAAAGCTCAGCAATTCAAAAAGTAAAGAAAAAGACACAAAAGTGATCACTTCACAGGTTGTTCCCACTCATCCTGTCCTGATCTGCACTAATAAACTGCAAAAATATGAAATAAGTCAGGCTGTGAAATTTATCGAGTTAACTCATGTTGATTAATTTTAGTGCTGGGCATAGATTAAAAATTTAATAACAATTAATCTAACTTTTTTTTTAACAAACAATCACTTTACTATGACAAAATATGTAAGTTTGTATATTACAATGCACTCAGTGCATATCAGATCATGTTCGTAAATGAGGAGTGGTTTTCAAACAGTTTACCTGCATAAATAAAAGGTTAAATAAAACAAATAAATAAATAAAAAGCCATGTGCAGTTTTTTTCTTTTTATCTTCTTGTGGTTTTATTTTATTTGTTTATGTTTTTGCGCGTACGCTATGATGCAGTTTACTGGGGGATGACTCCATCCTAGACTAGAAAGCAGAGTTTTATAAGATAGTCAAACTGTGAAAAACTAGCTTGTTTGTTTGTGCTGAATGCGCTGCTGCACTCGGTAAAAAAAAGGTGGAAAAAACCCCCGACTCGCTCCCAGAGCCGACACCAGGAAGTAGAGTTTTATAAAGACAGTCATTCTGTGAAAAACTCCTGAAGGGAGATAAAACAGACGTTGTGCACGGAGGAATCTGACTGATAAAAACTGTGGAGCTTTAACCGGGACAGATGTCGATAAAAACGTCGGGTGAGTCTGACCTTTTTAATCGGCTGTTGCGGGGGGACTCCATGCAGTGACGTATGGTTCAGTAGGAGGGGGGTTTCCCGAACTCGGAGCGGGGTGTCGTAGAGACTATGAAAGGTCTGTGTGAAAACGACTGCTGAACAACCACGTGACCGCGCGTCGACCCGTCGGCGTCGGAGCAAGTATGTTTCAGGCTTAAGTTTCACTTTCACTTCGCTCTGTTACTGCTGAGAGGCTGCAGGAGTCATGGGTGGGGTGTGGGGGGAGG